GAAAATGGAAATTGCACACGTGTGGGGAAAATCCGGAAAATATTTTCCGTGGAAAATTTCGCCTATCAAACAGTCAAAAAAGTGGAAAGTGGAAAATATTTTCCTACTTCCCAGGCAAATGTGGCATATCAAACACGGCCTAAGGGTAAATGTAATATATGACAACACAATATGTTACACATGCAAAACAATGATTTTTAATAAAGTGTAACATAAAGTGACGCTAAAATTTTGTTTCTTAATAAAAAAAATGAAATATTTTAACAAAACTCTACAAGTAATACATGAGCATACAACTCCTGTTTGGCTTAGTAAAAAAAATTAGATTTTAGTAAATTTTGATAAAAGTTGACGAACTGATTGAAAAGTTGATAAAAGTGTGAATCCCGTGAAATGTATATTTGAAAGTGAGTTACAAAAAAATAAGTTTTAGAAAATTAGGGTCAAACATGGACAATATTATTCTAACTTTTATTTCTAAAAAGTGTTGATTTTTAATGAAAATTAAAATATTGTTTTAAATTATAATGAGGTTTGTTTAAAAAATTATAAAAGGAGGTAAATGTAAAGAGGGGCATTTCTTAAAAAATTATATAAGGGGATATTTTAAGCATTTTGGAGAAAAGTAGGGTACTTATAAAGTTATCCCATAATTTTATTTAAAAAAATTTAGGTCCAAAGAAATATAAAATAATAATTTTTAAACAAACCTCATTATAGAAATTCGCTTATGCATGTGTACCATCAGCTTTTGCCTACAGTTTAAGCCGAAACTTCTCCATATCACAACCACTCTACAAATTGGCTTCAATTGCTAGCTAAGTGCCACCGTTGTGCTTTTATGCCAACCAAATGTTAATGGAAATCAGCTAAGGCAATAAGAAGGCATTTCTTCGAATCTTGTTCAATACAAGCTAACACCTTGTTCGAAGCACCCTGCTATTCGAATAGAGCCACAGAGACCCCACCTATAGGGGGCACAACTTGGTGCCTCTGTTTGAACATTGCCCTGTTCAAGCAAAATTATCCTTATTTGAATCTTGCTGCTTACAAGCCAACACTTTGTAGCCAACACCTACAACTGATGCCCACAACCGTCTGTGCCTTGCCATCGACACATTTCACCCACATTACCAAGTAATCCCACACATGTAATACTGCCATCAAATAAATTTGCATTGCACCTCTCCAATCACTATCAAATGCATGCATCACATATGAATTTGTCTAATGTCAACACACTGCCTCATTTCTCGTCCTATCGAATCACACATCACTTGCATAGTTGAACATGACATGACATGACATGGTGCAAGGCACCCCCATGTTGTGTCCGTTGCAACCAAAAAAGGATTCAACACTGATAATTTAATAAAAGTTTTGAGATAATTGTAGCTGAGGCTCCAAACTTTTCAAACAGTGACACACTTTCCTCTAACATTTCAATCGTTGCAATTGTCACCCAAACCTTTCAAATCGCAACAGCTGAGGCCCCAATGGACGGTTTCCATCCAATATGTCGTTATTTGATCCAAAAAATTAATTTTAACCACATTTTAATCAATTTTCAAAGGGCAAAATAGTAATTTAATATTTTTTCCGTGAAATAATTAAAAATTTAAATAAAAAACAAGAAAGTAAAATAAGAAAAACTATCTTCTTCATTGACCCCCAACCCCCTCAACCCAAAACTAGAAATTTGCCTCCACCACGCCTACCGCCATCAACCATCGTCGCCACTACGGTTATCTCCATCGATTATTTGAATCAGAACTGGATGTAGTTTCGAACCCAAATCCAAACCCATGATTATTATTATCATTTGACATTGAAGAAGGGGTAGGCACTGGGTGTCCTCTATCGAAAGATGATGGGGTTGAATCAAACCTTGAAAAATCTCTGCTACTCATCGGTGAATTTCTTAACTGTTTACCCATATTCTTATATCTTTGTCCCTTTTCTTTTCATTCTTGATTGCTGCAGAATCCTCTTGCTTGCTTTCCTTGTTTTTGCTAGATTTTTTTCCCTACCAGGCTGACATTTTCAAGAATTTAAATTACTTGATGATAAAAAAACAGACTTTACTCCTCTTTACATACATGTGGGTATGTATAATTATATATAGTGTAAAAGAAAAACAAGTAAAAAGATAGGATTCCAATATTTTGAGGGAGCTGGTGAGTTTAGATAATGTTACAAGTCAAGGCGCAAGTGAGAAGGCCGCCGTATAGGCACAATACAAATGGGGTGGTGGTGTTGAGGTGCACGTGGGGGATGGCAGACGATAGACAATGGTTGGATGATATGGAGATTCTTTGTGTGAACCTATGTTTTCAAATGCAAGTGGGACAACTACAAACCTTTCAAATGTGATGGTAGCGGTGGTCGATGGAGATGACGACGGCAACGATAGTGTTTGATGGTGGTAGGTGTGGCGGTGACAAATTTCTAGTTTTGGGTGGGGAGGTGAAGAAGATAGTTTATCCTTTTTTATTTTGTTTTTTTCTTTTTATTTAAGTTTTTAATTATTTTATGGGAAAATATTAAATTACTATTTTGCAAATATGGTCCAAATTAATTTTTTTGGTCAACTAACGACATATTGGATGGAAACCATTCATTGGAATCTCAACTTTTACTATTTGAAAAGTTTGGGACCTCAGCTACAATTATTCCTAAAATTTTTGTTAATACCAAAAGTATTAATTGAAGTACTAGGTTGAATTAGATAAAGGTAATTAGTACATAATATTCTTACATTTCACTGCTATTGTGGAAAAAGCAATTACTTTTTATTTTTTGACATTTTCATCATTATTTTCACATTTTATTGGCAAAAATGTCATTTTTATCCATTTTCTCAATTAAAAATTATGGAATGACGAATATACCATTCTCTTTAAATGTAAAAAGAAAACGAAAAAACTAATTATAACCATAGTCCCATTTTTTTTCTGTTTAAAAAAAAACGCAAATGAGTCCCTAAATAAATTTTTAAAAGAGTAATTACCACACGATGTCCCTACCTTTTATCATTATAGCAGAAAACGTCCATGCCTATATATATATATTTTTAACATTTTCACCTTTAATTACACATTTGATTGTGAAAATCACATTTTCTATTCATTTTCATCAAATTTCTCAATAAAAAGATGTGAAATGAAGAATATACTCCATATTTTTTTAAAAAGTAAATTAAAGATTTTTTTAATTTCTAATTTTTAAAATAATTTATATGAGACTCGTTTGCACTTTTCTTTAAAAAAAACTAATTTCTATTTTTTTTAATAATTTATTTGAAGTTCGTTTGCATTTTTTTTAAAAAAATTAATTTCTAATTTTTTAATAATTTATTTGGGATTCGTTTTCCCATTGTAAAAAAAATTAGAAATATGGTTGAAATTAATTTTTTAGTTTTTTAATTAGATATGAGGGTATATTCATCATTTTACAGCCCTTTATTGAAAAATTGGATGAAATTGATAGAAAAGACGGTTTGCACAATCAAATGTGTAATTAAGGGTGAAATTGTCAGGAAAAAAAGACGGTTTGCCCAATCAAATGTGTAATTAAGGGTGAAATTGTCAAAAAAAAGATATGGACGTTTTTGGTAATAATAGTGAAATGTAGGATATCATGCACTAATTATTCTTTTAATAATTTATTTAGCGACTCATTTGCGTTTTTAAAAAAAATTGAGGAGATTTGCAATTAGTTTTTTATTTTTGTTTTTGTTTTATTTAAAAAGAATAACATATCAGTCATCTCATAATTTTTAAAAGAAAAAATAAATAAAAATAATTTTTTACATGAATGGTGAAAATAAATGTGAAAATGCCAAAAACAGTAATAACATTTTACTCAATAATAATGTAGAGGGAGACGTTAGCTACCCAACTAGATAGCGTACAAAAAAATAAAAATACAAAATACAAAATAAATCCGTTTTGAGGGTTTAAAATTACAAGTTGACCGGAAAATTCAGAGCACTTTCTGGCCTCACCGGCATTCCGATAGTCATTGGCACTTCGACGTCTAATATCCAGACTCGGTTGCGCAGCCCGCCGGAGCAGATCCAAGAAAATATAGGAGTCGAGGAGAGATGGCATCGGATTTGGAGCAAGACGACATGGGTTCTCTTTTCGAAGGGATGGTGTTGTTTAGTCCTACTCAAATAGTATCTGAAATCGACGAAAATCCTCCAAAAAAATCTACAGAAATTGTCGCCGAAGCGGCCTCCGATGAGCCGGAAAAGATCAGTGTTGACGTTGCTGTATCTCAGCCGCTAGACGAAAATTTGTTCTCCGATCTTACCCTGATCACTCCTAGTCAGGCCCAAATCACTCCTGAATCTTCTCCGGTGTCGAATTCGGCTGTTTCTAGGCAAACTTCAATTCGGAAGAAGAAGAGAGCAGGTTTGAGGATCGGATATGGCAGAGATGCCCCGGTGATTCCTGATGACGTTTCGGATTCGAAGGAGCCAATAAATAGTGAACAGATAGGATCAGAAGTTGATACTCATCATTTGCCCGGCACGAGCACTGCTGTCCAAGAGCGTGATTCTGATTTTCTTGATAATTCAGTCCTAGAAGATGATTTTGTAGAGATTACAACTTCCTCTGAGGGCGGGGATCTTCAAGTAGTGGAAGAAGAAGAAGTCTATGATAAGCAGGTATTTGTAAACAACAATAGCAGCAGCAGCCTAATTGAATTAAGATTTGAAGAAATCAGGACAAAAATCTCCGAGAAGCTCAAGCATGCTCGTGAAGCAGTGGTATCTGTGTCTGCAGTGAGGAAGGATTCAATCAGGAGGAGAAGAAAAGCTGCTGACAACTTGAATCAGGCATCAGCAAAGTACAATGAACTTGAGAAGCAGCTAGAGGAAGCTTGCGAGGCTGAGGATTTTGAGAACGCTGAGAGAGTTAGTGAGAGGCTTTCTTCTGCAGAGAGGGAGAGGGAATCGATGGCCCTTACACTCAGAGATGCTGAAGCTGATTGTGATGCTGTTGAGTCTAAAATGCAGGAGGTTTTGGACTTGCAAATTCAAGCCGAGGAGGAGTGTGCCTCTTTGCTGGAAAGTTTCACAATGGTGAGTTCTTCATTATATGCTAATTACTTAATAGGATTCTTTTTCATATCATATGAAGATCCCAGTTGCTTGAGATGATATATGGAGTTCATCATGTTTTCACACAATTTTACTGCTGCCTTTAATCTATAATATGTTTTGGAAGATATTTTCTTTCTGAGTCGTCAAGCTGTCATTATTAGGACCATAACCAGAATTAATGTATATGCACTTCAGATTTCCATGTAGCATATTGTTTCATGTTGCTTGTATGTTTGTCTGCCAACGAATTCAATCTGCGATAAGGTCCAAATCTTTTAGACCCCCCAATAATAAGATGTCTTTGATTCCAAGAAAAGAAGGAAAAAATTTTGTTTAGACCTGGCTTAAACATTTGGTCTTGAATTCCATGCCAAGTCTTGAAGCATTTATGTCTCAGCAACATTACATATTCTTCTTTCGCGGATCAACATATCTCTGCAGACAGGCCAACACATTAGTCTGACTTCTTCTGTACTTTTATGCCCTGAAATTTATCTCCAAGCTTAGGTTTATTCTCATGTAGTTAAATTTCTCCTTTTTTACATCCGTTTATATAGAAGCTGAAAGATCCAACCTTGTTGCTTTTCTTAGGATTCCACAAAAGATGCAGATTTAGTCGTAGGCAATGCAGAAGCAGTGTCTACAAAAGAAATGGAGGAGTGGCAATCATCAAGTGAGGAACTAGAGGCCAAGAAGATGGAATTAGAAATTGAATTTCATTTAGTAAATGATGCCCGGTCTGGTTTAAATAATTCTATTGAAAGTTTAGTGGAGGATGATCAGCGTGAAAGAGATTGTCTTCATGATAAAAAGAAAATTTTGATGGACGAGCTGGAGAATCTACTTGCCTTAGTGAGAGAAAAGGAAGCAGAAATAGCAGAAAATGACTTTAATATTGAAAGAGTTGAGAACAGGATTGCAGATGTTGTCTCTGGCTTCCAGGAGTTGCAATCAATAGTAGATACAAAATTTCATGATCTGCAGTCAGGTCTTTCCCAGATTGAGTTGGACAATGAATCTCTATTTAAAAAGAAAAATGAAATTGACGAATTCTTTGCTCAGGAAGAAGCCAGGGGTGCAGAGTTAAGAGAAATGTCCAGGATCGCTGCAGTTGAAGCAAACTCATATCAAGAAGTTGTCAAGCTCCGTAAGCAGCTAATGCAGTTTGTTCTGAAGGCCAGAGAAGATAAACTAAGGCTTACCAAGACTGAGGAGAAACTTTCACAGGATGTCCAAATGTTGAAACAGGCAATTTCTACAGCAAGGGCATCTGTTCAGGTTATTTCAGATTTGCAACTTTGTGTTTCCTTTCTATTTCAATAGTGACGTGCATATATAAATTTTCGAATATAATTTTTATACCTCAGACTGCATGTCTGATGATTTAGAACCTCAAAATGGGAGAGAACAAAAATGTAGAAGTTAGACCTTTTTTGAGATGTAGATGCTGGCAAATGGCAATGCTTGACGTTAAATGTTTTATTTGAAACCTTCATTATGCTTCAACTTTTAAATCAGCTCAGTTTGGTTCTTGTCTTTTTTGTATATTATTTTACGGCATTAGTGTCCATTTGAGTTGCAAATGACATTTATGGAGGCAAATAAAATGTGAGGAATACGTAGTTGAAAAGCATACAAAAATTGAACAATTAATGAAAAAATGAACAAAATCTCAACTGTGGCCCCACATGATTTTTTCTCTGCCCCCTGAACGCACCGCGCATCTCTACCACCAATCAAAGCCCTGTACTTGTCCCCGCCATCAGAATCTGGTAAAATGACTCTGAAATTACGTTGCTTGTGCCTGTGACCAGCGCCATCCACTCTTCCAAACCCGTTGAGGTTGACTACATCTGCTCTCCCTTCAATTTCTAACCACAATGCTCTAAATTATAATCATCTTCTTGCTGCTGATCATCACCACCAGCATGATTGTCTGTGCACTGCCTAATCATTGATACCCTCCAACATGTTCCATAAATTGCCCATGGTTTTTTTACATTTCTCCTTTTCATCATCTCTTCACGGTCTTACTTTTTTCGATAGGTATATATTTGGTTTGTTAATTTAAGGAAAAAAAGGAATTGAGAAAGGCATCAAGTGTACTTGGTAAATCAATAAGCCGATAACCGAGTTATTCAGATACCGATGAGGCATCCTGTCATAATAATTAGATTTTTCTGGTGTTGGCACCAAATTGTAATGAATATATACACATAACCGTGGCAGCAAGTTTCTTCCCCTCCACGCTTCTTCCTCATGGGAAGTTCTTTGGGTTCCTTTTATCCCCTTCCATCTCTGTAGCATAGATACATCAATTAGGGTAGCGTGTCCATATCCGACACGAGTCGATATCAACACTTCTCGGACACTCTATCGTAATCATTTTTCTTTTTATATTAGAAATATTATATATTGTTAATTCAAAGTTATTAGCAAATAATAAATATGTACTCATGTTTAAAAGATTTCAACAAGAAAAATTAATATTACAAGCATAAAATTAAATTTATACTATAAGAATTTGTAAGAATTTAATCAATGTGTCGATGACATGTCCGACACGTATCATATTGGACACACGTGTCCGTGTCGGTGCATCATAGCCTTCCATAATTCTTCCTACTTGAAGCAATGAGTTTCTCTATTTGCCAACTCATAGAATATACTATCCTTCATATCTCTTCTATCACTTCTGTTTTGTTTCTTGAGACACCAGATTGTCCTCTTGTGATTTTATCCTGCGTGATTACATGTTTAGTACTTGGAGTGTCCAACTCTTCCGTAAAGTCATGTGCCCGTTGCATGCCTATGTCTGTGCTTCTTACACCCCGTTGGTGTCATTTACTACGAGTGGGCATTTAGTGCTTGTTTGGCCCCCATTATAATGAGTTTTTGGTGGAATAGTGATTTTTTTGAAGCATGCGTGGTTAAAAAAAATGAGAAGTTTTGGGTTTACGTATAATATTATTTTATTGAACAATGTGTGGTTGATAAAAAAAAGAAAAAAATGAATTATAATTTTAATGGGGGCCAAACATGTGCTTAATGATATCATAGGTTTGGGAGATTAACCTTTGATAGATGTAATGCATAGGGGCAAAGATAGCATAGTTTGTTTACTACCCCATAAATATGTAGGAGAAAACGGGGTAGGATTTAGGCACACGATATAGATTTTGGTATGCAGGTAAGGAAATAGTAGACACGGGGTTGGAATAGTCATTGAAGTGGGTTTAAAAGATGAGGAACAATATTTTCTGAAGAAGATAGAATTGATGGAGTTGGGTGTTACAATTTTGGGGACTTTTTGGGATATTGATTAATTGGAAATAATTTTCCTGTGTTGTTCTGCTAAAAAAGTCAGTGTCAAACATATTATAATATAATCAACAGGTAAAGCATGCAATATTCAATTTGTCATGGCCATGCAAGTTTGTCTGTGTTGGAAATCTTGAGTTTTATTGCAATTTCAAATACCGAGCAATTGTAGCCTCTGGAATAACACACCTCATGGTAAACAAGGAGAAATGCCAATTGAATTCTCTGCCTGTCATCATGTGGGTTGTAAATGGGATTTTCTCATTATTTCTTATTTCAGTTCCGGCTTAAATGTTGGCACTGAAAGTATCAGATTTAGGAGTCTGTCTAGAAGACGCTGTGATAAAAACAAAAAGAACTTACTGAAAACGTTTAACATATGATTGGAGTTTTTCATGGAGATTGAAAGGTTTTTAAGTCAACCTGGCAAAAACAGTATACAATTATGGCTATGTGAGGTTTGTAGGAACATGCCTAGTGGAAATTATTTGTGAATGACAGCACCTACTTTTGTTGCTTAATGAAATGTAAGTTGTCGAGGTTGATAATTGTGGCTATCAATCACGAGTAGGCATGATCTTCGCAAGGTAGAGAAGAATTTGTGGCACAGGAAGTTCACTTTGTCATATAACAATGATGAGATACCTTATGCCTTGTATCTCAAGGTGGAAAAACTATTATATATGTAGACATGTATGTGTACATTTTTCTTTCTGGAGGAAATGTTCTAAAGCTTGACGACTTAAATCAGGCTGTACACATTTGTGTCCTCTATAATTTGTGGGTTCTTTTCCTTTTCGTTGGGAGCTTCGGAAGGGAGGATTAGAAAGATAAAAAGAATATCAGAAAATAACCTTTTAAGTGTTAATGATTGCCCGTTGCATTGTAGATTGATGGGGTCACTGTGTCTCCAGAAGCGGTTGTATTGTAGAATTCGACTTGTCTTGTCCATTCAGGACTCATTTTATTTTTCAGGAATTTAACATCTAGGAATTTTCTGATATTTTTTCCTGGACTATGCATCATATTTCCTCGTGGAAGCACTCTCAGATCCTCACTACTCTTGATAACAAAACCTGCCAATTAGTGGATTAATGAGATTCTTTGCAAGAGGAGGTAGGTCAAGCTTATTTCTGATCAATGCAGCTTTTATCTTTTTAACTTAAAATCTATATTTGTGGAAATTCTAGGGTAAGAGCTTGTACATTATTGAGTATTATGATATATTTTGGCCTAGCATTATATATTTCTTTATTTAACCAAATTCAAATGACACCTTGAAAATTAGATGACAAATTCTATATTTCGTAGTGGGAAATTTGGTGATGGAATTTTAACCCATAATTATTAATATAATATTTATCTATTTTCAGATAAATATAGGTTATTTATTTAGAAATTGTTGAGATTATAAAATGGAAGTGTTTTCTTTGTCATTATGATAGCATAAAGAAATCATAATAGCACTTTCCTATGACTTGGTGTAATAACTTATTTCTAAATCAGCTCTTTATCCTAATAGATAGCCACTTATTTATCAAGTTAGATAGAGGAGTTTAAGGTATTAACTTAAAAACTCTATTTTAAGGCTTACAAGTATATGAACTCTTTATCCAAACAGTTATTGGTTATTTATCAAATAAAATCTTGGACCTTAAGATCTCTCGTTAGACCTTAAAAGGTATTACTGTTTATAAACTACTTTTAAATTAGTCACATAGGCTCTAAGGTGATTGAGGGATATGTCTTTCTCCGGCTTGTCGCTTGTCCTATAAGCTACATGGTATCGTCTATATCTCCATAAAGTGAGAAATTTGGAAGGTTCTCAGGCTATGCCTTTTGTCATTTCACCTTTATTATCTCTTTACAGTATACAACTGATCTGAAGTGAAGATTTCTTCTGAAAAATGGAAATTTTAGATTGGGAAAATTACCATGGATGGTTCAAAATTAATGGTTAATGCAGCGTTTAGGTCTCCAACATTTCAAATTTGAAGCAATTGAGTTCCTAGTAAGTGGTTTTCATCCATTTTCCCTTTACAGAGTCAAAGTTTAGTTGAAAAGACAATTTGCACATATTTTCGATGAAAACAAAAGAAAAATAATGAAAAAACTTCCTCTGCTCTCCCCCCTTCCCCACCCCTACCAAAGTGCCATCCCAGGCAGGGGGTGGGTGAAATGGGAAGAAAGGTGGTTTTGGAAGGAGGATTGTGAAAAAGGGAAGACAGGAACCAGATGGGGTGGGAGCCAGGAGGAGACGAGTGGGGGTAGGAAAGGTGGGTAGAGGGGAGAAGGCATGTAGTTCGGGTGTGCACTGGGGAATTTGATTATCTTTTTATTATTTTTTTAATTTTTAACCCTTTTAACATTTAATCTTTTCTTTTTATATATATTTCATTAAACATATTTTCATTTAGCCATTTTGTCCCTCAAATAGTGTTCAATGTACACAACACGACTTTTTGAAAGGTAAATTGATCGACCAATGCCAAGAAATAAAAGTTTTGGAACCCAAATGTCACATAACCTATGGGTTGGTGACCTCCATTTTTGTTTTCCCTTTTAACTTTGTAAATTAAGCCTCTGTTTGGCCTCATTATTTGTGGTTAATTTTGGGAATAGTGTTTTTATGAAGAATATGTGGTTAAAGAAGAAGAATAAGTTTTGGGTTTACGTATAATATTATTTTATTGGTGAATGTGTGGTTGATAAGAAGAAAGAGGACAATTGATTATAATTTTAGTGGGAGCCAAATGGGGACTAAATACAAGTTGGCGATTAAGAAAGGAAATCACTAATTTCAGATATGTTGTTTCTAGTATTGTATTGGCTCATGTTTAGGTCCTTGAAACGAATATGTCATATAAACAATTGACGGCACACATGCTCCCTAATACATTTTGATGATGGAACAACATTCTTTGGGTTGGAACAGACTTAGGCTTGTTTGATAGCCTAGAAAATGGGTGGAAAAAAAATATTTTCCAACTTGAGCCAATTAAGGGTATTTGATAACACAAATTTGCCTGGCTTTTGCTTTTTCTACATTTTTCTAGGTACAACCCTTTGATGCATATTTACTTGATTTTGTTTTCCCACCTATTGGGTGGGGAAGCAATTTCCACCCTTTTTTTTAAGCAATTGCAACAAATTCTATCATCCATTGTAAAAAGAATTTTCACTTTTGTTGACAAATTTTATGCAAAACAAAGTCAAACGAATGTTATTCGGTATGGTAAATTTTTTTTGGGCAATTGAAACAAATTCTAGACCCAATGTATAAAAAATTATCATTTTAATGGACAATTTTCATAAAAAAAGATTTTTCTAATTTAATTTTTTTTTTATATTTTTTGGTAATTGGAACAAATTCTAGATTTAATGGTAGAAAAATTATCACTTTAATTGACAATTTCCATAAAAAACGAAACCAAACGGACACCAAACTTTCAACATTTTCCAGGTGGAAAATTATAGCAGTCAAACAAAATTAATTACAGTTTCCAGTAAAACAAATTCTAGGCAATTCAATTCCCAATAAAACATTTTCTTTCCACCAATTTTTCACATTTGCAATCAAACGGACCCTTATATGATTTTGAAATGAGCTATAGAGAAGCTTATATTCCCCCTTTTCTACTATTATTGTTTCTTCTTAGAAGTAATCTGTTTCTCCGAAGTGTAGGAATAGCGATCATAATAGTTGTTAAGTGGCAATTTTTTATTTTATTTTGATTAAACATAAGAATCTCAAGTCTTAACCACCTGTAATTTCTCGATCTTTCTCTATAGGAGCTATCCTCGACTAAAGCAAGGATTCACCAGGAAATTGAATCCCATAATCAGAGGCTTCTCTTTATCGATAAAAGAGTGCCAGAGTTGGAGGCGGAGAAGAAAGTTGCAGCTACTGCAAGAAATTTCAGAGAAGCAGCACGTATAGCTTCAGAGGCAAAGGTATTGGGTGTTGAAAAAGAAGAATTACAGAAGAAAATGGAGATAGCAATTTCAGAAATCAAGAAGGTTGAAGAAGAAGCTGGCAGTACTCTCCAAAAACTGCAGGAAACTGAAATGCAGATATCATCCAAAGAAAAAGAATTGGAAACAACCCGATATCAAAGGCTAATTCTAATTGCTCGTGCTGCTTCAGCTGAAAGATCCGCAGCGATAGATGTAGGTGACCTTGAAGAAGCTGATATTTTGCTTGCTGAAGTTGAAGCTGTTGTTGCCGAAGCAAAGAATCTTCAGCCGGATAAATTCAAGGAAGAAGATTTCTCGCATTTACAAGAGAATTTCATCTCCATGGAACTTATATCAAAGCTTGATAGCAAGCAATTGACGGAATTAGCATCATCAGTTCATAGTGTGGAACACGTGGATATGGAAGGTATCAACGTATAATCAACTGGGCTCAGAGAAAATATAGCTTTTTGTCTATATTCTTGCCGAAACGAAAGCATTGAGGATAGGAGTATTACCCTGCAAGAAAGGTTTCAGATTGGAGGAGAGGTCAATTAAGGTTGAATTAGTTACCTTATGTTGTTTTACCAATTTTCTTCGGATTTTTCTTTTTCCTTTTGTATCAATTCACTGGTTTTGGTGTATAATTTGTTTTCTGTCAGTTACATAGTTTATTTATTTTCAAGACTAGAGTATTCTTTTTATTGGAAAGATTACTGATAGTTGCTAAATGCAACCAAGAAATACCAGTATAAAGTCTTTAAGGAAATAAGATTGGAAATTGTTTTTTTGTGTTTGGCTGCTACATAAATATTTTGGCCTATACAAAGTATGATGTGGAAACAGAAGTACCCACAACTATGATTGTGGTTGGTTTTACAGAGTACAAAAAACACAAGAATTGCTGACTATTTCTATGGATAAATTTGATCATATAACTACTTTAGTGTCTTTGAGTAATGCTACTATGTTGCAGGGGATACAGCCACATTATTCAATGAAATCAGCGGCAGTGACACATTAACTGCTATTAATCAATGATCGTCGCTGCTATTGCTGATGAATAGCATCATTCGTCTTTTCTTGGGATTCCGGTCATCTCTTGCGAGCAATAAAAGAGTGTTTGACTAACTTTAGTTTTTATGGAAAATGTCATTTTTATGGAAAAACTTTCAGGGTGTTTGATTGACATTTTTTCTATGAAAAATATTTTTCAAAAGTTGGTCATGTGACCATATTTTCCTCAAAAATAAGAAAAATATTTTCGTCAGACATGGGTTGATTTTTATTTTCCAAACAATTAACCCTCTTTCTTTCATCTACCCCATCTCTCCCATCTATCCACCTATAAAAGATGAATAACTATAACATTTTATAGATTAAATCAATTAAACATATTTAATTAATAATTTCAATGCAAATAAGTTCTAGGCAATTCAATTGTCTTAAACTTATTTTCTTTCTATGCAAGATCCATGCTTTTAATCTAACACACCATAATGTCTATTACTCAAAAGTAGTAATAAAACACTGGATTTGGGGTGGGTTTTCAACTCCCATGTACTTTTTTTTTTCTTTTCAAATTTTTTCTTTAATTTTTTTTTGTAAGATAAGGTTAGAATTGCTTTTCAACAAAGAACAAAACTCTTGGGGGATAGTCATAGCAAGGATTAATGATAACAATCAATTGAAACATTGGTGACAAAAAAAAAAAAATTCCTTTTGGCAGGTTTGGATGAAAATTATTTTTCCAATACGGTATTCCTTTACTAATTCTTGTTGTGGGTTCGAATTAAATTCATTCACACGTGCAAATTATATTTTATCCCTTTTAAATTACGGGACTATAAGCATGAGAAGCTTAAAAGGAGAATATATGTATGACAAATAAAAAAAATTCTCTTCACTGTAGAAATATCTGCTTTGAATATTTTGGGGAAATGAGAGTGTTTATTGATAAAAATAAAGTAATCGATTTTGTTTCTCCAAAAATTAGTGTATTGTGGTTCATGATATTGTATAAAAATATGGATTATCATTCTATTTTTCTTTTCTAAGAATTTTTTGTTGTATAATTTAGATTTTTATGTTGAATATAATTTAGCCCATGTTTGGACTTCATTTTATCTAAAATACATTTTTCTCTCTCTTCTTTTTAATCACGCATTCTCCAATAAAATAATTTACATATAAACCCAAAATTTTCTGTCTTTTTTAACTATACATTCTTCTTAAAAAAATCACTATTTCTAAATACATTTTTCTCCAAAAAAAAAAAAAAAAACATTTTAATGGAGTCTAAACGGGGTTTTAATTTTATTTAACGGTTTTAGTCATTGAAATATGAATTACCATTGAATGATTCTCATCTCATGATAGCTCTTTTTAGTTGTGGCAGCGAGTCGAGTTGAGCCAACTCGGAGCTCGATATCAACTTGTATTAAGAAAGCGAGCCTTTTGAGCTCGGCTCTTCCCTAAAAATGGGCTTCGTCGAAGCTTTGGCTCAAGCAGGTTGAGCCGAGTAGGCTCGCAGACTTCTTTTTTAATCAAATACTTAAAAATTGATCTTTAATTTAGAAACTACAAATTTAATTATATAAGTTGTTGAATTTTACAAATTAAAAAATTTAATTATGCAAGTGGTTTAAAGAACAAGTAACAACCCTCCTCCTATTTTCGGGTTTGTGACTAGCTACGTCAACGTAGATGAAGTTAAAATTGTAAACGAATAAAATATTATGTATACAATTTGTTAAAAAATAAAGTAAAAAATTATGCAATTAAATAAAAAATAAAACTTACAATATTAAGACCCTTGGATCTATTGCAACTCCTCAGATCTTGAACGTGTAATTTTCCACATTCTCATTCATTCAAGTATACTAGAGTCTCAAATTTATCTTCTTTTTAGCCTTGATCATTCGCCTGACAAAATTCTACTACTTAAACTAAACGCAAGCTTAGATGCTATTGTAGACACCAATGATGTTAGTAGATCACATGTAATTTTTGCTACAATTGCATATTGTCGTTCATTACACCTCCACCAATATAGAGCATCAAACTTTTCTATTTTTGTTGGTTCTAAAACACTACGTACATATGCACGAAAATACTTAGATAACTCAAGAGGGTATTTCAACATTTGTATCATCACATACTGTTCTAGATAGGGATGAACTACTATTAGCTGATGGGAGTACTTGTTTGTTAGTTTAAAAAATCCCATAAATCATTTGAATGCATTGCAATATTCTTTTGACTTTGGAGAGTAGAATTGCTTTGACCTTCCTTTTCAACATAAATATTATACATTTCACTTAAAAGAGTTTCTATGTGTGTGTGTGTGTGAAAGTGGTGCTTCCAAAGTCAAGTGAAATTCTCATTATAATAGCTTTAGTGCCTTCTAAATTTAATCAAGGGTCCATTACCGAGGCTAAAATAAATAAAATGGGCAACACTTTCCAATATTTTCGAAATTTTACCTCCACAAAAAATATTATATCAATGAAAAGTGGCGAACTCTTTTGAGCAATGTGGTAAAAATGTTGTAAAACAAGGCAAGAAGTAGGATAGTAAACACCATTGCACACATTTGTTGGTTCGTAAAAAGACTTCAAAAAGTTCTTAACACAAAATGCAAGTTTCTGGTCACAATCTTCTAAATTATGTTGGGAGCCATAGGTTTGTCTATCATTATATACAGTGAAATAACTTTAACGTAATTCTGACAAGAATGCAACATAAGGTACATAGAGTTCCATCTATAATTTACATCAATGACAAATATTTTCTCTCGTAAGTCATGCCCCGCATACACACTATTAAATACTTGTTTACGAGATGGTGATACAGTAATACAATTTATTGATTGTTTTATTTTTTCTAATTCTATTTTTATGTGGTAAGCCATCTTTCACAATCAAATTAATAATGTGACAAACGCATGTATGTAAAAATATACCTCCAAATTCAAGTTTAAGTTCATCAATAAATTTGTATTCACAGCAGTATTGTCAAAAGTAAAACTTCGAACCATATTATACATACCATATATTTCTATAATCCCCTTTAAAATTAAGTATATATTATGGGCAATATGAGGATATTCCATTAATCTAAATGCAATAATACTTTTTTACAAAATCTAAACTTTATCAATGTAATATGCAAAGGCAACAATATAACATTGGGATTGTAGTAACAAACAAGGTCGACGATGATGTAATGACAATCACTTTGCAGCAGTGTTAGATCAAATTAGTAGCAATAAATGCAAATTTATGTTCTAATTAATTGAATATTTGATTGAGGATTCAAACTTTGTAGTAGATGTGGTAATTTGTGGAGAAATTATAGACAAATTTTGAAGAATTAGAAGGGTTATGCTTTTGTAAAAGGGGTGAGGAAGATAGTCGAGAAAGACTGAGATAAAAGGATAAAATATATTGTGATTTTGTAAAAAAAAAATAGAAAAAAGAAAATGTCCAAAAGTCGAGGGTCACGCGATCCATCATGCCTCCCTCATCATTTGCCAATGATTGAGATGTAATTTCATATCAAAATTTGTGTTTCCATCTTAAAATGTCATCATCGTAAGAAGAACAGTCAAAGACCATTTGTTGAAGATATTATATATAAGTGGTATCATATTTATCCTTTAAAAGGCCCGACAAGATGGTATTTCATTTGTGAACAACAATATTGAAATTCAATAGCTTGTTTGAGCTTTACATAAAATAATAGCTTGTCTGAACATTATTGGCTCTAATACCACATTGGATATAAACTTATTATTTTAATATCAAATGGTTCAATATGATAATAGAGAAGGCAAAGGTCCTGAATTCAAGTTTTGACATCACACATTTAATGGAGTCATGTATTAGGCTTTGATAGTAAAAATTGAGTCTAATCTATTAGAAAATTATTTAATTTGTCATGTGAGCCGATATATGTAATTAATTGTGTATAAATATTATCTTAAAGTTAAGTCCAAAATTAAAATGATTTAATAAAAAATTAAATAATTGAGTTTTGAGCATCTAAATAAAGTGGGGAAAAAATCATAACTCAGGTGTATTGTTTACACCATTTCACAAGTCATGTTTATAGTTTGAAAATTCAAAACTCAAGTATATATTTAATTAATTAAAAATATTTCTTAATTAAATACAATAAAATCAGATTTATACAATTAATGGTCACATATACATAATTATAGGTCATTATTTATTTACTGGTCACATATTATCAAATTAATTGATCACGGATTATTTAATTGTCACATATCAAAAAATCTAAAAGTCACAGCTTATTCGTCGGTCACAGATTTTCAAATTAATCGGTCATGGATTATTTAATGGTCACAGAGGAAAAATTTATAGGTCACGATTTATTCTTCGGTCACAAGTTTCCAAATTAAATGGTGGCATATTCTTCAACAGTCACGGATAACTAAATAGTTGGTCACAAATTAACCAAATAATTGCCACCTCCACCGCACCGCCACCGCCACCAAAAAATAGCTACCACACCATCACAACCACCAACACAAAATATCCACCACACAAACACCATCACCACCACCAACACAAAATAGCTACCACACGAACACCATCATCACCACCACACAGAAAACCGTCCAAACCCACCCCCAACCGCCAGATCCACCACCAACACTACGACCACCTTCACCCCACCACCACCACCACCACACCACACCACCTTCACAACGTACCACCACACCCATAGACACCACCACCGCACCAACAATAACAAATAAAAATCATCCCTGCTACAGCCCCTCAAAACCATCACACCACCGTCGCACAACGCACCACCACCCCTACAAATACCACCATCGCACCAACAAATAAAAATCATCATAAAATACCAAATACGTAGACTAAGCAAGGAGGAAGAAGAAACCACCCCCAAAACCACGGCTAGCATCGTTGTAGCAGCGATCTGAGCTCCGGTGCATATCGCAACTGCTGCGCCTCCGCGCGAAGAGGCTCATGTCTGCTTCCATGGGGGCG